CGTGTCCCGCCTTTTGTTCAGGTTGCTTGCATGTTGCCAGGACAACGAAGCACAAATGGAATTATTCACGGTGACTCTCTGTCGGACGTTGTTCGAACAGCAAAGCGCATGCAGGCATGGACGAGCGTTGCGATCCGCATCAGTGAGCACTGGCCAGCTGGCATGAAGACTTGTATGGCATCTCCTGTTGACACTCGCATTGCCAAACGTACATGGGAAAAACTATTTTCAAAATCAGACAAAGTCTTCTGGTATTGAATTCTTTTCCACAGTCGGAGGTCGCCGATGTGCGAGAAGCTGTGAATGGAAATTCGGGAGATGAAGAACGTCATGCGCAGTCTGATGCTCCTGATGGTTTGCAAGCAGATGTTCATCCGGGTTACATAGGTGGCGCCTCTGACGGATTACCTTGCAAGGAGATCTTCGAAGAGCTGCCAAGCTTTTTTTGATGCACAGTTTCTAAGTGCTCTGGCCGGAACCTGCAAGTCAGTACTGGCAGCTGTGAAAGCGAAGAGTAACTGGACTGATCGGACAGTATACGTTGATCGGCTACAACCAAGCGATGGAGCAACTTTTCGCGGCATGACGCGTCTCCTTACTTCGGCAAGACATGTTTGCGTCAGTGTGTCACAGCTCACGCAATTTGGAAGAATTCCCACGGGTTTTAGGGGTTTTAGGGGTTTTTAGGGTTTCAGGGTTTTAGGCGTTTAGGCGTTTTAGGGGTTTTAGGGGTTTTAGGGGTTTTAGGGTTTTTAGGGGTTTCAGGGGTTTTGAGGGTTTTAGGGTTTTCAGAGTTTTTAGCGTTTTTAGGTGTTTTAGGGGTGCTAGGTGTTTTAGGGGTTTTGGCGGCTTAGGTTTTTTTTTTTTTTTTTTGGTTTTTGGGTTTTTGGGTTTTTGGGGTTTTTGGGTTTTTGGGGTTTTGGGTTTTTGGGTTTTTGGGTTTTTGGTTTTGGGGTTTTTGGGTTTTGGGTTTTTGGGTTTTTGGGTTTTTTTGGGTTTTTGGGTTTTTGGGGTTTTTTTTGGGTTTTTGGGTTTTTTTTTGGTTTTTGGGTTTGGGTTTTTTGGGTTTTTGGGTTTTTGGGTTTTTGGGTTTTTGGGTTTTTGGGTTTTTGGGTTTTTGGGTTTTGGGTTTTTGGGTTTTTGGGTTTTTGGGTTTTTGGGTTTTTGGGTTTTTGGGTTTTTGGGTTTTTGGGTTTTTGGGTTTTTGGGTTTTTGGGTTTTTGGGTTTTGGGGGTTTTGAGGGTTTAAGGGTTTGTAGGGTTTGTAGGGCTTGGCTACCCTGAGGGCGCGAAGGCATGAAGCGGTAGGTGGGTCAGCCCTAAACCCTAAACTCTAACTACACCCTAAACCCTAAACCCTACACCCTAAACCCTAAACCGCCCTCGATTACGATCCGAAGGCCTCGTAAGGGGCGGCCTCGCCGGATGTTGTTTGGGGGTCTTGTTATTTGATTTCATTTTTTGAGAGGTTTCTTAGGGTTTAGGGGGTTCGGGGGATCATTTTTATCCACAGGAAACCGGTTTCGCTATGAGCACTCCCTTTTTGTCATTAGGACTCGGCTCAAAACAGGAAACCCTAAACCCTACACCCTAAACCCTAAACCCTAAACCCTAAACCCTAAACCCTAGACCCTAAACCCTAAACCCTAAACCCTAAACCCTAAACCCTAAACCCTAAACCCTAAACCCTAAACCCTAAACCCTAAACCCTAAACCCTAAACCCTAAACCCTAAACCCTACACCCTAAACCCGAAACCCTAAACCCTAAACCCGAAACCCTCAACAGGCTCTAGGCAGCCTATAGAAGCTGCTCACGGAAGAAACTTTTTGGCCCCAATCCCGGCCTGAAAAAAAACTGTGTTGACATCATCGGCGTGGGGTGGGAGAAAAGTGTTAGATGGCCCTCCACAATCGGGCCAAAGCTGCTCTTCAGCACCTCACGAAGCTTTCGAGCTTGTTCCGAAACCTAACCTTCACAGCATCTACGCCCTACTACACCCACCAAACCAAGCCGAGGTTCCGACGGACCCTCACATACTGGATCGCCGTGACGTTTGCGGAGGGCTCGGTGCTCTTTGTAATGGGCGCCAGCTTTGCCATGTCGCTTGCTTCGGGTTTAGGGTTTAGGGTTTAGGGTTTTGGGTTTTGGGTTTAGGGTTTAGGGTTTAGGGTTTAGGGTTTAGGGTTTAGGGTTTAGGGTTTAGGGTGTAGGGTTTGGGGTTTGGGGTTTGGGGTTTAGGGTTTAGGGTTTGGGGTTTGGGGTTTGGGGTTTAGTTTAAAGTTTAGGGTTTATAGGGCGTTTAATTTTAGGGTTCGGGATGAGGGTTCAGGGGTTTGGGCGCCTGAATTGCTCAGGGCCCCCTTTTTTTGAAGGTTGGGGATAAGGACCCCCCCTCCAAAAAGAAGAAAGCACAGGAAGAAGAAGAAGAAGAAGAAGAAGAAGAAGAAGAAGAAGAAGAAGAAGAAGAAGAAGAAGAAGAAGAAGAAGAAGAAGAAGCGATACTTCCTAAAAGGTCATTCAATGTTTTGTTTAAATTTGCTTCTTAGAATGGAGCGCTAAGCTAAGCCTGGTTTCATCCCTATTAAGGGGGAACATCCCAAACCATAGGCTTGGTAGCCCAGTGGTGTCCGTTTCCCTTTTCTCGGTTCAAGGTTCCCTTATAGAGAGTAACCCGACAAAGGGTACCCCGCTTATCATACGGCTACTGGACCACCAGGTAGCTTCAGAAACTCTCAAACCCCCTCAAGCCCCAAAATCCAAAAGCCTGAAATCCCTAAGCCTTAAGCCCGAACCCCTTAAGTTGACCTCTTAGATTTTACGTGTTTCCGCCCCGAAGCAAATTCCTAAAGCCCTCAATCCCCCTCGCGCAGGCCCAAACCCTCACCCTAAATCCAAAACCCTAAGCCCTAACCTCTAAACCATAAGCCCTAAACCCTAAACTCCTAAACCCAAAGCCTTAATGTTGACCTCCTTTTCATAAACCCCCCCCCCGTCTCAGTTGATCTTTGTCTCCGGCTGCCCCGCCCATTGAGGGGGGCTGGTCGGGCTGTCCCGAGCCGCCCCCAAACCTTGACCTACCGAAAAGGGCACGTAGAAAAAATTCGGTCCCCGGGCCGGGGTTTCTTATTATTGAGGGGGGGTTTATAATTGAGTTCCGGGATCCGAATTCTTTAATTACAGGGGGGTTGGTTTATAAAAAGGCAGGTTAACATTACACCCTAAACCCCGAAACCCTAAACACCCAAGCCCCCCAATCCGAAACCCTGAGCCCTACCCTCATATTAGCCCTAAACCCTAAACCCCAAGCCCTAAACCCTAAACCCTAAACCCTAAACCCTAAAACCCCTAAACCCCAAAACCCCTAAACCCCAAGCCCAAAGCTTCAGAGGTCTGGCCTGGCAGACGTCACGTCGCCCAGCTACCACCGGGTTTCCGATCTGGCCCTCGTGGCCGTGCGTCGAACCTTAGGGGGTTTAGGACTTTGTAGGGGTTTAGGGTTTAGGGCTTAGGGTTTAGAGGTTAGGAATATTAGGGGTTTAGGACTTTGTAGGGGTTTAGGGTTTAGGGCTTAGGGTTTAGAGGTTAGGAATATTAGGGGGTTTAGGATTTTGTAGGGGTTTAGGGTTTATGATTGGTAGGCTCTATGGGGTTTAGGATTTGTAGGGGTTGAGGGTTTATGGTTTGTAGGCAATAAATAGGGTTTACGTTTTTTTTTTGGGGGGGGTTTGTAGGGTTTTAAGGGTGTATCGGGTTTATAGGGTTTGTATAGGTTACCCACCTCGAAACCCCCTAAAATGCTGAAAGGTGGGCACGCCCTACTGCATTGGTGCCCTTTGCTTCACGGTGGGCGCCTACTGCGGGGTGTTGGAGGTGGTGAACTTGACGACCAGAGACTCAGCCCGAAACTTTAGGGTCTAGGGTTTAGGGTCTAGGGTTTAGGGTTTAGGGTTTAGGGTTTAGGGCTTAGGGTTTAGGGTTTAGGGTTTAGGGTTTAGGGTTTAGGGTTCTAGGACCCTCCTTCAGGATCAGGGTTTAGGGTTTACCAAAGACGTATGAAGCGCCTGAGGCCCGGGGCTGAAGCCCTGAGTTTAAACCCGAGCCCGCAACCCTGCTCTGAACTCCTAAACCCAAACCCTAAACCCTAAACCCTAAACCCTAAACCCTAAACCCTAAACCCTAAACCCTAAGCCCTAAACCCGAAATCAGACACCCCGAACAACCCTAAACAAGCAATCCCAGACAAACAACCCAAAACAAACCCCTAAACAAACCCTAAACAAACGTAAACAACCCAAAACAACCCCAAACAACCTTAAGCGACCCTAGCATTTTGGGGGGCTTTGGCCTCACGTATCAAAATGGCCAACGCCAAACAGGTTCCCTTCTGATACCTTTTGCTCTTGGGCTACCAAGACAGAACAGCACGGCATTCGTATTCGGCATTGGCAGCAGCGTGTTGACCATAAGAGAGCCTAATTGGATTTTCTTCGGTTTCGAGTTTAGGGTTTAGGGTTTAGGGTTCAGGGTCCCCAAAGAATCCGAATCCGCGGTTCCCCAGAGGGTTCCAAACGCGATTTGCCCACGACGTCTCCCCGGCCCGAACACTCGAAGGTTTCGCAAAAGGTTGAAGGTTTAGGGTTTAGGGTTTACCCCAAACCCTGAACTCCATATGTGAGGGACAGTATTCTTTAGCAGGGACCCACAGCGGACATTATTTAGGGTCTAGCTGAGACACTTTGTACCTGCGGTATAACCCGTATACGTGTTATTAGGTACATAGAGTGACAGGTGGGATCTATTTGGAGGTCCATGGTACTTATGAACCAATTATCACTGTACTTATAACTGTACTTATAACTGTACTTATAACTGTACTTATAACCATATAACGGCACTTAAGGGTCCAAGTAGGGTGTACCCGGGCCGCGTGCCGGAACCCTAAACCCGAAACCCTAAACCCTAAACCCTAAACCCTAAACCCGAAACCCGAAACCCGAAACCCTAAACCCTAAACCCTAAACCCTAAACCCTAAACCCTAAACCCTAAACCCTAAACCCTAAACCCTAAACCCTAAACCCTAACCCAGGAGAGGGCGAGAGGCTGCAGTTCTTTGTCACGGGCGTGCGCCACGTGAGGCAGATCGCGGCGGTGGTCGATCTCAGGCGCGCGCCCGAAGCCCTAAACCCCTGAGCCCCCTGAGACTAAAACCCTAAACCCTGACCCTAGACCCTAAACCCTAAACCCTAAGCCCTAAGCCCTAAGCCCTAAGCCCTAAACCCTAAACCCTGAACCCGAAACCCTAAGCCCTAATTAAACCGCAAACCCTACATCCTAAACCCAGGACTTGCTGCAGCCGACGCATGAGACCATTACAAGACTTCCTTTGAGGTCTGCTTCGGCTTCAGGGCCATTATGTTTTCATGGCTGGCAAGAGGTTTAAGATTTGAGGGTTTAGGGGGTTTAGAGGTTTGGGGCTTTCGGGGTTTAGGGTTTAGGGGTTGAGGGTTTAGGGGGTTTAGGGTTTAGGGGTTCAGGGATTTACGGGTCTAGGGGTTTAGGTCTTTAGGGCTTTAGGGGTTTAGGGTTGAGGGTTTATGGGTGATGGTTTCGGGGTGTGTCTAGGTAGGGTTTAGGGTTTTATTAGGTTGTGAGGTTTGGGGTTTAGGCTTCAGGGTTCAGCTGTTTAAGATAGCAGTGTCAGTCACCACCCTAAACCCGATAACCCTACACCCCAACCCCACAAAAAAGACCCTTCACCCAAAACTCTATAACCTCGAACCCTAAACCCTGCACCCAAAACTCTATAACCTCGAACCCTAAACCCTAAACCCTAAACCCTAAACCCTAAACCCTAAACCCTAAACCCTAAACCCTAAACCCTTGAGGTGCTTCTGGTCCTACATGGCCAACTTCGTCGGGGCCATCGCCTTCAACGTGAACACCATCTCTGGCCCCTCCGCCACCTTCAGGTTTTACCAGCAGCCCCCCGGTTCAGGGTTTAGGGTTTAGGGTTTAGGGTTTAGGGTTTAGGGATCCCAGCAGCCCCAATACCCGAAGGGTTTGGGGTTTAGGGTTTAGGGTTTATGGTTTAGCGTTTGGGGTTAGGGTTTAGGGAAACCTGACGCGAACCCAAAGTCATCAAATCCTAATCCCTAAACCCTGAATCCTAAACCCCAAGCCCGACAGCCCAAACCCTCTACTGGGGGCTGCTTTGGCTGCTTATGGGGGCTTAGGGCGACATCAGGGTTTAGGGCGACGGGTTTCGAGCTTAGGGTTGGGTAGTTTAGGGTTCAAGACATTTCGGGCATGGGAGCTCACGGTATTTTGGGGCCTTAGGGTAGTTTAGGATATAGGGCTCTCAAGAGGCTTTGATGATGCATTTTCGGATAAACGCCGCCCTTCACTACACGACACTCTGCCGCCCTCGGATTTAGGTTTAAGGTCTGGGCACCCTAAACCCTGAGCCCTGTACCCTAAATCCTGAGCTCTAAACGCTATAGACCCTACATCCTAAACCTTGAACAATCCCTAAACCCTAAACCCTAAACCCGAAACCCTAAACCCGAAACCCGAAACCCGAAATCCTAAACCCTAAACCCTCGACACGAAATCTGAAACATGAAGCCATGCCGACCAAGGCTACTTTGAGCTTGGCTTTGTGCTGAATCTCGTGCTGGTCTGGGGCATGGCAGCCACTCTGGCGTCAACTTGGAGGCTTGCTTTTGTTTTGGGGTCAGGGGTTAGGGTTTAGGGTTGGAATACCTAAGGAAGACCTCGAAGACTTGCACTCTAAGACCAAGCTCTACAACCCTTTGTTTGTTCAAAGGAAGGGGAAGCCCCTCGTAGAGCTGAGATCCTAAACCCTCAGCCCTCAAATAAATCCTAATTCCCAAGCCCCCCAAGCCCCAAACCCCTATCTTGCAGCAATATGATTCCGACAGCAGCTGCAGCTAGCATAGGGCTCTTAAGGTTGGCAAATCAGGTGCACCATTTGTGGCGATGAGGGTGTAGGGAGTTTAGGGTTGAGAGTTGATCCCTGAACCCTAAATACCCTACACCACGACAAACCCAGGCTTTGGGTGGCTTTTGCTTCACCCTCGGGGCCGTGATGGACTGTGGAAACAACAAGGTGCAGGGTTTAGGGTTTAGGGTTTAGGGTTTAGGGCTTCGGGTTTAGGGGTTACGGTTTCGTTACCGCCTCGGAGGGCGAAACCTGAAAGCCCAAAACCTCCAGGACCCCTAAGCCCCAAAACCCCAAAACCCCTAAACCCTAAACCCTAAACCCTAAGCCCTAAGCCCTAAACCCTAAACCCTAGAGCCCCCCAAAAGCACGAACTGATTCGTCGTAGGTGTGGCGGCTGGACATCCACACGGCTCAATGGTGGCTTGGCTGGGCTTTGGGGTTTGGGGTTTAGGGTTAGGATTTAGGGTTTAGGGTTTAGGGTTTAGGGCTGCTTGAATCCTCCCAGTCCTTGTGGTTTTGGGGGGTTGGGGTTTAGGGGTTAGGGGGTTCAGGGGTTTAGGAGTTTCGGGTTTAGGGGTTCATGGTTTAAGGTTTTAGGGTTTACTGGGGCGTTCCTGCAGCCCCAAATGCGGCAACTTAATTGACTGATTCCCGTCCTCAGCGCTACAAACCTCGAAGGCCCACAGGCCCAGAATCCCTGAAACTCACCTCAAAACCCTACAGGGATTGGGTTTAGGGTTTGGGATTTCCCTAAACCCTAAACCCTAAACCCTAAACCCTAGACCCTAGACCCTAAACCCTAAACCCTAAACCCTAAACCCTAAACCCTAAACCCTAAACCCTGGGTGTCCGTACTTCCAAGGTGGGCCAGCGTTGGCAATTTGATTGGCGGCATCTGCTTTCTGGAGCCCGGCGTCGTGGGCCTATTCTCGCCTTCGCATGAAGTCTACTACTGGCTTATCGACTTCGTCTACCTCGCCGCTTGGCTGAGGGGGTCTGGAATGGAGAGGCTCCTAGCAGCTATGCGCGCGTAGCTCGGTGTAGGGTTTGGAGGGCTAATCGGGATTTACCCTAAACCCTAAACCCTAAACCCTAAACCCTAAACCCTAAACCCTAAGCCCTACACCCTGAACCCTCCCGAAACCGACAACTCGAAACCGACAACCCGAAAGACTCCAAACTCCAAAGACTCCGAAGACGCCTGCATCCTGAGGCCCCCCCGTAAAGAATAGGGTTTAGGGTTTAGGGTTTAGGGTTTAGGGTTTAGGGTTTAGGGTTTAGGGTTTAGGGTTTAGGGTTTAGGGTTTAGGGTTTAGGGTAAATCCCGATGAGCCCTCCAAACCCCTTAAACCCCCTAAGGCTAAACCCCTAAAATCAAACAACATCCAAAAAGTCAAATCCTTAACACAAACCACAATAACACCCTATTTTCCCTAAGCCCCAGAAACCCTAGACTCGAGAACCCCAAGACCCAAAACCCTCGAACCCTAAACCCAGAACCGGCAGGGAGATTCAGGGTTTAGGGTTTAGGGTCCCTTGCCGCCCTTGAAACGGTGGGGCGGGGGATATGGGCCAGTGGCGCCCCGGCCTTTGGTGGGAGCTTGGGGCTAAACCCTAAACCCTTTACCCTAAACCCTAAACTTTAATCTTCGTGTTTTGGGAATTCCCTGGTGACCCTGTAGGGTTTAGGACTCGGGCTTCGGATTCGGGACTTGGTGTGAAGCTTTGCCTTAAACCCTAAACCCTAAACCCTAAACCCTAAACCCTAAACCCTAAACCCTAAACCCTAAACCCTAAACCCCAAACCCTAAACACTAAACCCCAAACCTCAAACCCTAAACCCTAAACCCTCAACCCCAAACCCCAAACCTAAACCCTAAACCCCAAACCCTAAACCCTAAACCCTACACCCTAAACCCTAAACCTTAAACCCTTAACCCCAAAGAAGTCGAGCCGAGGTGGGATCCGTTGCCTTCTTCGCTGCTGCCGTCTTCCTCATGTGGATGTGGAAGAATGAGCAGCGACCTGGGGGCAGAAGTTACAGTTTAGGGTTTAGGGTTTAAGGTTTAGGGTTTAGGGTTTGGGGTTTAGGGTTTAGAGTTTAGGGTTTAGGGTTTAGGGCTTAGGGTTTGGGGTTTGGGTTCTGGACCCTTAACCCTCTTCCCCAACATAACCCCTATATATGCCGTATGCAGTCCCTATATACCTTAGTAGCCCCTAAATAGCCCAGAAGGTCACTTGTAGTCACAGCCCGAAGCCTGAACTACACCCCAAAGGGTTTTGGGGTTTAGGGTTTAGGGTTTAGGGTTTTAGGGGTTTAGGGTTGAGGGTTGAGGGTTGGGGTCCCTTAGTCCTTCTTTGCGCCTCAGGAACGAAGCCATTAGCAAGTCCCGCGGGTTGCATTCACATTCCGACCGCGCCCCGCATGAGAAACCCTTAAACCCAACATCCTAAACCTCAAAACTCCAAAACTCCAAAACTCCAAACCCCCAAACCCCCAAACCCCCAAACCCCCAAACCCCCAAACACCCAAACACACCTAAACACCCAAACACCCAAACCCCCAAATCCGAAACCCCCCGCCCTCCCTCAAATTCGAAAACTCGAGAACCGAACCTATGACCCCCCAAGGCACCCAAAACCCAAAACCCGAAACCCTAAACCCCCTAACCCCCTAACCCCCTAACCCCCCAACCCCCCAAACCCCCTAACCCCCAAACCTCCTAACCCCCTAACCCCCTAACCCCCTAACCCCTTACCCCCCTAACCCCCTAACCCCCTAACCCCCTAACCCCTAAACCCCCCTAACCCCCTGACCCCCTAAACCCAAAACCCTAAACCGGAAACCCTAAACCCTAAACCCCCCTAACCCCCTGACCCCCTAACCCCCCAAAACGCCCAAACCCCCTAACGCCCCGCCCAAGGTACGGCTTGGGACGAATGCCCGAGCTCAACTCATTCATGCGGCCGGCGCCGCTGCCGCAGCTCGGGGGTGACGGGGGGGGGGGGGCCTTTGGGGTTTTAAGGGGGTTTAGGGTTTAGGGTTTAGGGTTTAGGGGTTAGGGTTTAGGGTTTAGGGTTTTGGGGGTTTAGGGTTTTGGGGGTTTGGGGTTTTGGGTTTGGGGTTTAGGGGGTTAGGGTTTGGGGAGTTGCCTTCTTGACATAGATGCAGATGTGTCGATGGCACTCCGGAAAAGTGTCAGTTTCTCTCAGTCTTGGGGCTCTCTTGTGGATCGAGTGCGTGGTGGTTCACTTGTCTCGCAGTGCCACTCTGGTAATATGGCTCAGCTGCTGCCCAGCGACAGCACCAAACACTTCCATGTTTGCTTGTATTGGAGGTTCTCAGTGGGCCGAGGGCAGCTACATGAGGTACAAGGCACCAAATTCCCTGAGTCCTTATGAAGAACGAGTTTACCCAAGGTCTTGCAGTCAGTTCGGAATTCGTGGTGCGGTCAGCATTGCTCATGTTCTATGACTGCCCTTGCAGTAAGTGCACGCCGTAAACCCTTAACGCTAAACCATAAAGCTCTCAACCCTAAACCCTAGACCCTAAACCCTAAACCCGAAACCCTAAACCCTAAACCCTAAACCCTAAACCCTAAACCCTAAACCCTAAACCCTAAACCCTAAACCCCAAACCCTAAACCCTAAACCCTAAAGCAAACAAGCGTCTCCCGCTTTCTGCCCACACACTCAAACACAACACACGGGTCACCTCGCACCGAACCCGAAGCTCTGGAGGTAAAACCCCAAAAGGAGCCCTGACATCCAAAAAGCCCGGAATCCCAAAAGGTTTAGGGTTTAGGGTTTAGGGTTTGGGGTTTAGGGTTTAGGGGTCTAGGGGGTTTAGGGTTTAGGGTTTCAGGTTTGACGTTTAGGGAACTCCCAATCCTGAACCCGAGTTCGGCTGACGAAGGAGAGGTTGCCGACAAACCTCCTGGACTTTCACGCCGCACCTGTGCTAAGGGTTTAGGGTTTAGGGTTTGGGGTTTCGGGTTTAGGGTTTAGGGTTTGGGGTTTAGGGTATAGGGTTTAGGGTTTAGGGGTGCTCTTCAGCAGGCGTTCAGGGATTCCTGTGGTTAAGGTTTTGGGGCTTAGGGTTTAGGGCTTAGGGTTTTAGGGTTTAGGGTTTAGGGTAAAGTTTTGAAGTTTCAGGTTTATCGGACTTTGGGTTTAGGGTTTACGGTGGACGGTGGAGGGTGCCGCAGGTTTCTGCCAAACGCTCTTAAAACCCAACTCTTACGGGTTTAGGGCTTAGGGTTTAGGGTTTAGGGCTTAGGGTCTTGGGTTTATCCCTCTAAACCCCGGGAGGCCTTCCAGACCCATCACACCCCAAACCCCTGAGCCCTTAGCACTTCGTGGTCCTCGAGGCCGGGCCATTTTGGGGCCACAAAACCCTTAAAAACACCTTGGGGCTTTGTAGGGCATATTTCCCGAAACTCTGTTTGAAAATATGTGGATGGAGAAGCTAATCTGCAGCCGCCCAGCAGCCGTAGTACAAGAAGCGTCTCTTCTTAGATGTTCATTACCTGTAGTAAACCCTAGACCCTATGTCCTAAACCCCTTGAGGTGCGTCTAGGGTTTCGGGTTTGGGGTTTAAGGTTTAAGGTTTAGGGTTTAGGGTTTAGGTTTAGAGTATCCCATTTTTTCACAGTTCAAACCGCCCGTTTGGGGCCTGCCGAGTCCTGCTGAACCCGAAGCTCTGTAAACCGTGCCAAAGCTGCGGCACCCTCCACCGTCCACCGTAAACCCTAAACCCAAAATCCGATAAGCCTGAAACCTCAAAACTTTACCCTAAACCATAAACATAAAACCCTAAGCCCTGAACCCTAATTGCGGAAACCCCCAAACAGCCCAGGAGTACGGCTGTGGCAAGCCGGTGCCTCAGACCCTTCCCAAACCGTGCAAAGCCTATACAGATCCGCACATGTACATATACAGATAGATGTACATGGTACATGTAGATGTACATATGTATGAGAGAGGGACCTTTATGTACTATGTTGCCACTGTTCTTTTCTTTATATATTAATTATAAGATTCATTTAAATAATTGAGTAAATTAAGTGAGCTCAAGAATTCAATTAGTTCAAATGTTTGGATTCTTTGAATTCTTGGGGAGGCCCAAGAATTCAAAGAATTCAAACATTTGAATTCTTTGAATTCTTGGGCCTCCCCAAGAATTCAAAGAATTCAAACATTTGAATTCTTTGAATTCCGTGCCCTCAGCCAGACCATTTAAATAATTCAAAGAATCTAAAGAATTCAAAGAATTCAAATATTTGAATTCTTTGAATTCTTGGGCCCCCCCAAGAATTCAAAGAATTCAAACATTTGAATTCTTTGAATTCTTGGGCCCCCCCAAGAATTCAAAGAACTCAAACATTTGAATTCTTTGAATTCCGTGCCCTCAGCCAGACCATTTAAATAATTCAAAGAATCTAAAGAATTCAAAGAATTCAAATATTTGAATTCTTTGCATTCTTGGTGAGGCCCAAGAATTCAAAGAATTCAAACATTTGAATTCTTTGAATTCTTGGGGAGGCCCAAGAATTCAAAGAATACAAACATTTGAATTCTTTGAATTCTTGGGGGGGCCCAAGAATTCAAAGAATTCAAACATTTGAATTCTTTGAATTCCGTGCCCGCAGCCAGACCATTTAAATAATTCAAAGAATCTAAAGATTTCAAACATTTGAATTCTTTGAATTCTTGGGCCTCCCCAAGAATTCAAAGAATTCAAACATTTGAATTCTTTGAATTCTTTGAATTCTTTGAATTATTGAAATGGTCTGGCTGAGGGCACGGGATTAAAGATTTCAAACATTTGAATTCTTTGAATTCTTGGGGAGGCCCAAGAATTCAAAGAATTCAAACGAACTTGGACAAAGATCTTAAGCAATAGCATTGTTAGCATCATCTGCTTCGAGCATTATATGTGTTAAAGAGTCAAGAGATTTTTTTTCTTTATTTGCAAATGTTCTACGTTAAGTGTACTTCAGGTGCCGGGCGACAACGGTCAGATTCTCAGTTTCGTGTCTATATTGTGTGTAATTGCATATAGTATTGTCTCGACCAGGCTTCATGATCACCGGCGACCAAAACCGCCAGCATATATAGACCATGCTTAAGACTTTATGCTTCTTTTTATCGTAAATCACATTATTCATACGGCTATGCTAGTTAAACTGATATTACATGGCGGTAGTTGTTTAAAGTGTATGACAAATTTAAGTAGTTAGCTTCAAGTGTTATTTAAATGTAAACGCACAGATGTAAACGTGGAAACTATGTGATATTGACATTGCCGTTTTTTTTTAATCACTGCGGATGCATTCTCTTAATCTTATAGATCTTGCATACTCTTGCTTGGCAGGTGGAGGAGATCGTCAGGACCTGACTTTTGCTTGATCGATATTATGTTTTAAGCTATTGATTTTCTTTGTTTAGGCTGTTGGCCGTCCATTCCTATGGCTCGGCCAGGGGCTTAAACTTGCACCTATAGATTTTAGGCTGTTTTTGTTCAACACTCAGGCGTTTGGGTCGAGTGGGATCGCGAGTACCTCATCACGCAGAACGAGGCTCTAATTTCTTAAGTTAATGCTCATTTTATTCGCATCGCCTTCTCAGGTGGTGCTGCTAATCGCCGGCACCGAGCAGTTGTGCGTGTTTGGTTCGTATGCTGTGGCGCCGCCGGCCACCGGGCTTTATTGCTCGATGGAACCGAACGCGCAATCAGCATAATAGGCGCTGGGTCCTCGACATTGCGTGATGTAAAGCTTATCCTTTTTTGCTTCGTATGTGTTTTACGTAACATTAATATATTCAAATATTTTCTTCCGATGCTTTGTACACGCTGGACCCAGTGGAAGTGATCAGCGCCTCTGCGACATCGCGTCTTCATATGAGCGACTACTTTTATTACGTTGCAGGAGGTCTCTTGTGGCGGAGATAAAAACCCCATGTCGTGCCTGAAACCTCGGAAAGCGATGGGCCCCCCCCAAAAGCGATACCCTGAATCCTGAATACAAAAGTCGTTCTGCAACCATGTCATGATTTCGGGTGTTGGGTGCTATTCCAGAGCGATACTGAAAGCGATAACCCTACGATACCCATTTGGTCACCTGAAGAGCTGGGCAAAGGCCCTGGCCCAGGTTGAGGGTTCGAGGTTTAGGATATGGATTTCTGATTCGAGCAGCGAGAGCTCCAGCTCCTGGAAAAGGAGCACTCGCACTCTTTGATTTATAGGTCCTAAAGAAAGGAAACGGGTTTAAGAATTCAGGAGTTTTCACGGTAGGGTTGCAGGTTTCGGGTCTCATATGCAGTAAAGCGATAGGTTTTCGTAGCAGCATTGAGCTAAAGTCCCATAAAGCGATAGGGCCCCCCCCAAAAGCGATACCCCATGATTTTTTAATTAGCATTTACATAAGATGTTTTGCGGGTGCTCATATGCTTCAAAGAACAAATATTATTATTACATGTTGCCGTTGAAATATTATGTTGTTTTGTTATAAACTAAATATATTTCTGCAAACGTGATCTACATAGACCCGAGACACCAAGCTTCCAAAAGCTTCAGCCTGTGATGGCTCCTAGGTGTCGGACATATTTCTGCAGACATGATTAACAGACAACCGAAACACCAAGATTCACATTCTTCAGCCTGTGCAGGCTCCTAGGTGTGGGATTCCAGTTTATAGGTTTTTATGAGCCGATGAAATTATTTTGCAGACAAGATCTGCAGAGACCGGAAAGACCAAGCTCCCACAAGCTTCAGCCTGTGCAGGCTCCTAGGTGTGGGGTTCTGGTTTAAGGTTTTTCTGAACCGATGAATATTGTTTTTATGACTAAATATAAAATCGCAGTCAATGCATCACGTAATTTTTTTCTTAATTAAAATCTTCTCATCTCTTATCGTTTATATCACTTGACCACCGTACTAAAGAATTGTACACGCCTTTGAAGCTGAGCCTGTAGCGAAGCTAAGAAGATTGCTGAACGAAAAAGATTGAAGCAGAAGAGACTATTACTTCCACATAACCCTTTCCAGAATACTGGTAGTTGAAATCTTGTGCGAAAGAATCCTTGGCTCGGAGCTACAATGTCGGTAGTAAGCCCGCGGCCTCGGCCGGACGCGAGCATAGCTCAGCGCCAGGCCGGGCGGGGCGATGGGAACACTTGAAAAGCCAGACTCCTAAGTTAACAAACCGTTGGGATGCTATAGCCTTGTTTTTTTTCCCAAAGCGACACCTACAAACATCAAGCGTGGATGGTTGATGCTAAAACCCTGTAAAACGATGAGAAGACTTGAAAAGCAACACCTTTCCTGTTGCGTCCATTAGCACCTCGAGCCGGTTTTTGCAGTTGCTCATATGTAGCTGTCGAATTCAATAATTCCGGCAGGCGTTCGGTGTGGCTGAGCGGCAGCATGGCAACAGGCTGCCGCGAATCCACACACCCGTCTGAAGCTCAGCCACACATTTGGAGTGACCGCAGTTTTACGAAGCATCAACTGCCGGACAATAGGTTCAAAGTGGCTCATCGACAAAATTGCTAGAAAAAGCTAGGAGAGGCTGAAATTCGCGTGGAATCACAGCGGTAGCATCGAGGTGCAACGGAATTCGCGCGAAACCACAGCGGTATCATTGAAACGCAATAGAATTCGCTTGAAACCACAGCGGATCCGTCGAAACCAAGGCACTGCTCGACTGCGCACGCTTTCGTGGTTGGCAACTTCCGTGGCCTCCTGCGCACAGGCCTCAAACGGCCACGAGAGACATGAACTCGCGCCAAACTACAGGCGGAACATTGTGGTGCAGCGGATTTCACGCGAAACCACAGCGGGAGCATCGAACGCACTGGAATTGCCGCGAAACCATAGCGGGATAGTCGACGCTTAGGCTCCGCCCCACCATCGCGCGCGCCGTTGCGGTCATCAACCAATTCCTTTACTCTGAATCTAAGAAACCCATTGTGCAATCACTTTTTGGGGAATGAACACGGATTGCTCATGACTCACCGGTAAGGTGATGCTACTACCTGTGGCTCCGAGAACGCCTCCACCGGAGAAGGCACACACGCTGCGCCACTGTCAAAGGGTTCATGCCATACTTCTGTACGAACATTGTCTCATATGATTTCATTTATACATAGAAACAAACTTAATGAGCATTGACTCGGGAAACTGGGTTCGTTTTTTTCTCGTAGAGAAGAAGGGATCAGGGGCGAAGACTAAATTCAACGATTAACGTCGTTACAATATTTCGTGAGGTGGCAGAGAAGAAGAAGCACCTCGCGTGGCAGGAAGAAGTCCGCTTCTCAGAAAGTTTTGATAGACATCACTTAGTTTTTCTAACGATGCTGTCAATGCTGATATACTCAGAAACGTTCAACCTTAAACCCGAAACCGTGAACCTTATATATGTATGAGAAATGTATATATGTATATTTACACATATATGATATATATATATATATATATGCTCATATATATATATATATTACATATAATCCACAAGGCGGTGCCAGAGAAGAAGAAGCACCTCACGTGGCAGAAAGAAGTCCGCTTCTCAGAAAATATTGACAGACATCAGTTAGTTTTTCTAACGATGCTGTCAATGCTGATGTACTCAGAAACGTTCAACCTTACACCCGAAATCCGTGAACCTTATATGTGTATGAGAAATGTATATATGTATATTTACACATATATGATATATATATATGCTCATATATATATATATTACATATAATCCACAAGGCGGTGCCAGAGAAGCAGAAGCATCTCACGTGGCAGAAAGAAGTCCGCTTCTCAGAAAATTTTGACAGACATCAGTTAGTTTTTCTAACGATACTGTCAATGCTGATGTACTCAG